AGATTTTACATTTTGTTCTAATTCTGATAGTTAATCTCTACAGGTACAAAGGATCTTCGAATTTTGCCTAGGATTTTTAAGACATCTAACATGAAGCAACTTTTTATGACTGTGCAATGATTACATAGAATAAAGCGTATCAGGAATCTCTGATACGGCTAGCCCTATTGACCTCCTCTCTGAGATATCTGGGGATTAAAAGTGTGAGCTAATTGATAAGCTCTGACCTCAGCATCATGCTAGCTCTCATAAGGAAACATTAAAATTGATTGCATGGCATGAATCTTTAGAAAAAGAAAGGGAGATTTTGGTTTAGACAGCGGGGTCTGTGCTGGTATGTCTCCTGGACTAAAGACATCATAACTACTCAGCACGGGTTGAGGAAAAAAAAAAAGAAAGAAACCCTACCCAGCCCTCAGACAAAGGTTTATGTGAAACTAACTGTTTTCCTGGATCTTGTTCCCTGAGGCAAGGATGATGCATACATTCCTGAGGAATCATATACTTCAGTGCTGCAGACACTGAAATTTTGCTAAAACCCTTCAAGGGGAAAACATGGTGGAACACACTAGTCATCAAGAAACTTCACAGCCAATTGCCCATCTGGAGTTTCATCACCTTCTGCTCTCTGACTTCTAGTATCCAACATGAGCTGCAAGGAATTATTAAGGAACTGCAATTGCTGTTTGTGGTGGTGCATCCTCCCTCCCTTTGGCCATACTATCATTGTGTGGTTCCCAACACACACCTGAATATTTCTGTTCTTCACATCAGCTATCTTGGGAAGGTGCTATGGCTAGAACAGCCAGTTAAAATCGTTTCCTCCTTCAGAACATGTAAATAGCACAGCACTTCTAGGTGGAAAGTCTTAGAAGAAAGTGCAGGTATAAAAGGCACTGTCATGTTCATATTCTAATTTGTCATTAGACACTATTTGGGATTTTACTGATTACAGTCACAATGTATTAAGGAACTAGATCTGAAGTTTGCTACAATAACAACTGAAGACACAATAATGGCATCAGAAAATGGCATAATGTGAATAAAAGTATGAATTTGAAAACTACAATAGAAAAACATAAATAAAACAAACAAGTAGTCTTTGAATTAGATTTTAAAATTACCAGAGCTTCAAATGATTTTTCATTTGTCTTTCAAATAAACCTCTCTATTCTCTTTACTCACACTTATTTTAAAAAACTGCAGTGCATTTGCTTTCAATAGGTAAAAAACATAAAGCCAGAAGTTCTTTCCGTATAACTTAAATACAATATATATATTACCAAACCAAGTATTTTGTGACTTTTTGCAACCTTCTCATGAAACTGCAATACACAAATAATTGCTTCTTATGTGCTCTGCATTTTTGCTTTAGAGCCTGATTACTAACATAATAAAGGAAGAAACATCAATTACTCTAGCTGAAAAGTGATCTTTGAATTAGTTTTGGTTTTAAAATAGTAACAGAATTATAAACTAACCTTTGAAATTAACTTTTTATTCTTGAAGTATTTTAATGATCAAAGTAGATGGAAATTACAATATCTCAAGATACAAATCCAATACATGCTTTATCTTTTTTTCTCATTTAAAATAATAAAATAAAGAGTTCTGCAACAGTACTTTTAAGTTGCTATTCAAGTTCATTAAAAATAAAGCCTTGTTTGTAGTTTCACACTAATTTGAATTATCAAGAATATTAGGACTTTTTTATTTCTTACAGGGTTGACTTCCTAATTTCCCATGCAGTGTAAATGGCTATTTTCACTGTTGCCTTTATTCAGCTTCATTTTTGATTCTTCTCTCTAGATAACAACTTTTTGGTCTACTGAGTCTGAAAACCTTCTATTACAGTATTTTGATAGCAAGCTTGTTACTACACAAAAAAAATACCAAATACATCACAATCTCAGCATGTTCTTCTACTTGGCATTTTAGAGAATCTAACATTTTATACTGTTTGAATACCTTCTGCAATATAGTTATATCTACCAGCTTAATCAACATCAGAATTTACCTCTAACATTTGTCTTACTGAAAGCTCCTCCTAGAAAAAGAATGGACCTTTATATGGTCTGTTTGTTATGGGCTGTTTGTTACAGGCTTCTTCTTCAAGTTCCAAAAGAATATTTTACATGATGATAAAAAGCCATATGTGTAAAATACACTACATAACATCACAATTGTTCAGATAGGTGAAAAATTTCAAAATTGCTTATGGGTATACAAAGCAGACTTGGTGCAATACTCAGAGATCTGGTAAGATCCCAGAGGAGAAGAGCTTGACAAAACATTTCAGAAGCAAGAAAATGAACATGTGATCCGCTGTAGTCCAAATACAACAATCACATTAATGGGAAAATATGACATGCCCTAGTGAGAAGCGAAAAAAGATAAAAAACTTGGATATAACCTGTGATACAATAATTTTGACATTCTTTTGCATTGTTTCATTAAATCTGGAAAGAAATCCAGATAGTTCAGGCCAACAAACAGAAGTCCCAAAGCAAAACATACCCTCTAAGTCACCGATGTTTCCTCAAAATTGCTGGGAAAATCACGACATTGTACTTGAGTGTTTAACCAAACAACTCTTTTTTGTGTTAAGTTCTGAGCAGATGAAGTATGGCTTAACATGTAAAACTTTGTGTCTTACAGGCAACAGCTGAAGATGGTATTTGACCTGAATGCACACACATTTGATTGAATGTACATGTTAAAGATACACACATTTAAATGAAATTAAATTAAATAGAAACAAAACTACTGCAAACAGTTGGGCTGGGTGCTTTCTAAATAGAACAACTATTAATAATGCTGTAAAATATAATAAAGGGGTTGAATCTCACTTTTTTCTCAGAACATGAAGACAACAATAGCATTTTTATAACAACAGGTAACAGGTGAGGAACTCAAAGATTGACATATTTTTCAATGCACTGCACTATTATTAATGAAATACAAGATGTGATCAATTTACAGGTAGTGAAAGACACAATGATATGACATTATAGAACTTTATTGGCCTGTTAAAAGTAAGTTCATCTAATACATTTTTTACAGATTGTCCCAGCTGTTATGGTAGCATTTGGGAACAAAAAACAATGTTTGCCTGTTACTTTTAAGAAACATTAAACAGTTTCAATAGGCAGAATTAGAGGGAAGAGGGGGAGAAGAGTCACAGCTTGCTGATGGATCACAGCAAGTAATTTTTAAACCCACAGAATCACAGAATGGGTCAGGTTGAAAGGGACCACAGTGGGTCCTCTGGTCCAACCTCCCTGCTCAAGCCAGGCCATCCCAGAGCACATGGCACAGGACTGTATCCAGATGGTTCTTGAATATCTCCAACAAAGGAGACTCTACACCCTCTCTGGGCAATCTGTGCCAGTGCTTGGGTCACCTGCACAGCGAAGAAGTTCTTCCCCATGTTCAGGTGGAACTTCCTGTACATCAGTTTGTGCCTGTTGCCTCTTGTCCTGTTACTTGGCTTCCATGATTTGAACGAATATAGTAGAAAGTAATTTTGCGCTATAATTTAAAATATTACTTTTTTTCATATGTGAAAAAAATATTTTAGGAAAGAATGTTAAAGTTCTATACTTTGATATCAACTGAACGACTCTTCCTGTTTTTAAACTGAGTCTGAAATATAAAAAAGACTCAGGAACAGATAGCTCTGAATGGCAGTGAAAGATATTTAAAGTGTATTTGTTGAAGACTCTGGTCTTGGGTTTGTGCTGTAGTGTGGCAACCCAATTAAATTCATGCACTAGTAAAGTCAATAGTACCAATGAAATAGCTGTGTTAAAAAAAACTCTCTGGAAAAAAAGTAGGGATTTCCTTTCTGTTTGGTGGACATGCCTGACAAGGGAGCCCTCTGCTTACATCAAAGAAAAAGCAAAACTATTGTAAGAAAGCCATGACTTTACCCTTTACTTGCTTGAATATCAGATAGTTCCCTGAAATTTTATACGATTGTTCTTGTCATTCCAGCTGAGGAACAAAGTAACAATGAAAATACGTATGCAAGGAGACAAGTTTCCTCCTATATTAAGACATAATCTTCTTCGTAACCCCACTGTGACTTTCTGCCTCTAGAGACTGTGGGGGAACGGTCCCCTTCAAGATGAAAGCAGTTTGGCTCTATGCTGCCTACAACTATGCTCCAGGCCAGGACATGTGCTTATCCTACACACTCCTTGCAGCTGCAAAAATATAGCTAGTCATATCAATACAGCTAGTCAGAAGGTTGCTATTAAAATTAGAAGGATATAGCATGTCCATAGCAAAACAATACACACTCCAGTGTGGGCTCTTCCAATGTATTGCTTTTTTTTTTTTGGATGAAAGTCAGTCAACCAGTTAATCTTGAGGCTGATTAAAACATGTTCTGCAAGTTCAGTCCCATACATGCTTGTGGAAATGAACAGCTATATTTATTTCCAATCAATGCATCATTTCCTATCTTTAGAACTGATTTAATTTGTATGAAGGAAAGAAAAAATGGAGCAAATGGAAGCCAGCTTCAAACATTCGGGGATGCAGATTCCTGTGGAAGTGGGACAATGAGATGGGCTGTGACATGTGAAATACACAGCACTGGCATTCTCTGTGCATCTTATAATATTGTGTTCATACTCAATATTTCCAACCACCTACAAACTCTTGCTCTGGAGATCAGATGACAAAAATCTTGCACCACATGGACCTACGTTATAACCTGGAATACTTTACACTATGACATAACGATGGCAAAGTCCTTCAAAAGGATATCCCAAGACCCTGGACATTTGTGCCCTAAGAAGAGAGCTTACCACAGCTCACAAAGTAGCACATTGAGCTCTCTGAAGAACAGAAAACAGAACCACCAAAAATTGGAAGGAAAAGAAGCCACAAAGAATGATTGAGAAGAAGAAAATACTAAAAAACCTTTACATAAGCTTTTGGGGTTTTCTTTTAAAATAAACATGAACAAAATACTTAGCTGGTCAGTCCACTAATAACTTTTGAATTATTTCAAATAATAAATTATTATTAATAGTAATTATTATTATTATAATAATTATTAACTGGGAAAATATGGCTGAATTAAAAAGCGCTCAGAAAGGATGATTTTTTTTTATCTGTTGGATAATAGCTTCCAACTTTACAAACAATTTGCAAGTTTTTAAGCACTAAAATAGACACAAATGAAATAGTGGTCTTCATGGTGATGATCAATTGTCCACTTAACATGGACAGCTGGGTAATGGGATTGACAAACTTTGCACGAAGACAGCTCTTTAAGTGTAAAAAAGTGTAAGGATACACCTCTGGTGGAAGTGTACGAGTCATTTTCATATGGCAAAATTCCATATGTTTTACAGTTTTTGAAAAACCAGGCTTAGGATTGGGCTTTCTTAGGGAAAAAAAGTATTTTTAGTGCTTCTGCCTACAGTCAAAAAAGAAAAAGCAATCCCCACAAGAATTATTTGAAGTAAAATTGTTTTCAACTAGCTGTCCACAGGTTTTCTTCGCACTGTCTGCTGTTCCAAGGATCTTGATCTTGCTCCCACTGAAATGCATGTTTTTCTTCACTGTTGCCTGGGAGAGATCCAGCTGGTAGACAAAGGCAGTGGAAAGGATGAAGACTGCCTTTCACAGGTTAGGATACTCAAGGCACATATTCCCATGAAAATATCTCATAGCAGTCTCAGTCTGCCTTGGCGGTGAGCTTCCAGGACTCCCACTAAAAAAGAAATGGTCCCTACACAGCTTTCTTCAGGAAGAGACACTTTGCAACTGCTCCCATCTCGCTTTTCATGACTGGCAGCTGCAGCAACCTTACCTCTGATCTCTACCTGGGAACTATGCACTTCTTTGCAACTCTGACCTGGCCACTGGTCAAACATCCACCACATTCAACAGAAACAGGTTTATTTAACTGGATGACATGACTTGCCTCACACCAAAACACCCCCAGTAGTGCTTCCTCTCCAGGCCCCCAACTAATCTTCCCATCAAACTCCTCAACAGCTTATCTCAACATGTCTCTGAGCATATTAAATCTCTATCTAAAATAAATTCTAGTACAAATAAACCCCTTCTAGCAAAACCTTAGAAATATGCTTTTATTTTAGTTTAATGTCTGGCACAGTGAAAAAAAATAGCAACTCTGCCTTTAGACATTTCATAGCCTTTTTATTGCTCAGTAAAACAATATAAAAGCCTTTTAATGTCAAATCCTGGATGTGCATCAACTTTTACCATGTTAACGGTTCCTGTATGATTTTTAGTTTCAGTCTCACTTCATTTTAAGGAGGTCAAGAATTTGTAATTAAGTGAGCCCTTTGTAAACCAACACCATTTGGGCAGATCGTAATCTCTACAGTTACAAGCAATGTCACTTACAATCAAGCTGAAAGACAGAAGCTAGTGGGTATCATAATTTCCATGTTAAAAGTTTTAGCTCCCTTAGCTTTAAGAGGCTCTGTCCACATACTGAAAAGAAACCATTTTAGAACATGTAGTCTTTTTCCATCAAGCATTAAACATCTGTGCTAAGACATTATTAGTAACAAATCACGTGCTGTAATCCATAATGTTCTGTGAATATCTGCATCAAGTAATAATGTACTGAGTGTCTAACATAATGTAGTACAAAATATGTAAGGATATTCTACAATACAGATATAAAAATATATATATATATATATTTCAGTGGTGCATAGATCAGTTGTTGTTTATTAAAGTTACCTCCATGATTACATAAAATCCAAAATACTGTGTCAGTACATTCTGAAACATTTGAAGGTCAAACCTACCCCTGTCTGATAAAGATGAACTGCAAAGTGCTACAAAATAAATTACAAAAAAATTATGTAAAATCCCCAATCAATAACTGTGCATATTTATGCATATAAATATTATGAATCAGAAAGAACTACCTTTTAAAATTAATTATTTCAAAGGTCAACTGCCAAATTCCAGCTTTGCAGGTTTGCTTTCTCCCTGCCAAAATAGAAGGGTTCATATTCTCACCTCATTAATTTGGCAATAAACTGTGAACACATAACTGAAATATGCTGACTTTGTCCCAGCAAAACTTCAAACTAGAATTTGGGCCACTGGGTCAAGCACTGCGCATGATCCAATATGTGTGTGATGTAAGTCCACTGACTTTAGTTCAAATATTGTTGCTAGATGATTGTCTACTGATTTAGAATCAGCTCTATAACATTAGGTGTTATTCCAACAGGAGGATAGATTCATGAATAAGCAAGAAGTCTGAGGAGAAAATAATTAAAAGGAAGTTAAAAGTGAATCAGTAAGCAGGAGAAAGGTAAGATCTCTGGAAAATAAGACCATGTCCACACAGACTTAGGGAGGAAAAAAGGCAGACATTCCTAATACTCTTTCTGAGGAACAGCAGAGCACTTGATGACATCTAACTTCAAACAGGAACTATGATGGATATCCTTAATTGCTGCCATCCCTCCCCAAATCACCACAGTATGTGCAGGGCGACAAAGACAACACGATTCCTAGGTCATCAGTAGTCTTCCAGCTCTGTCCTCTTCTTTAATGTGGGGGAACAGAATACATCTTTGGGACAGATTTTTAGCAACTCCATCTCCCGTTCCCTAAATAGTGGAAAGGGAAAGGAAGTATCTCCCTACATAGGCCCAGAAGAATGCAAATGTGGACACGTTTCTTGACTAATAAGGATATTTCTGAAACTTGAGCACAGCAGGAAAAAAGAACTTGGATGCAAGAAACCCAAGAGAATGCAAGAAAAAAGCTGAAGGATTAAAAGTTATAGAAGGCAAAAAGTGAGTAAATACACAGAAATAGAATGAAAGAGTCAAGACAGTGCTGTAGAAAGAGAGGGATGGTGTATGGCCTTAAAACACTGCAGTAAAAGAAAAGGCAATAAATGTTACAATGGAAGAGTGAAGATGACTGATATTAAAAACAGGTAACAATGAAAAGCAAGTACATCTCTTCTTTTTTACTAAACATAATTGAAAGGAATTAAATACAAACCATATCTCAAAAATCTAACCAGAATACACAGAAACATAAGCATCTACCTCAGTCTTTCACTACTATTCCTTGTAGCTAACTCTCACTCAAAAATAACCCTGAAACCTCATACTTCTTACAATTCCCTAAACTGAGAAGATCAAAGTAGACCCTCAGGATTTGATACATAAATCAAATGAAAATTAATTTCTAGTACTATATGTAAATGCAGCTCTGCTCTTGAAATATGCTCATGCCTTCATTTAGCTTTACTTGTTAAAGTAGACTCTTCTCTGCAGTACAGTGAAGCACATTTTGAAGCATATTTTACAGTTAAATATGGACAGTTAAACAAGTCTCTCAGTCTACATCTGAAGGACCAGCCAAATACTGTTGTTATTCTTGCTCTTGGCTCAGAATCAGCATTCTGGCCTACTACAGATTTGTATGCTTATTCAAACTTAGGGACTATCTTCAATAAGCACAACCTAGCTGAATGTCTAAGTGATGGCACTGGTTCAATACCCAAACACACCAAACAGTATTGCCACCTTTTTGTGTATAGCTTATATAACTCTCCATCTTCCTGGTAAAGTCAGTGGAACTACATACATAATGAGATTGCAGGGCCAGCTCTGCAATTTACTGCTTCAGGAATTAAGAGCATATCCTGCAAATATACAAGAACTTAAAATTTAAGGATGTGAGCATTCCCACTGAATTCAGTGAGCCTGCACACACACTCAAACTAAGCACTGTAGAAATTTTGCAGAGACGCTAATTCAATAAAATAAAAGCAGCTTTGCAGTTCACCTTTGAATAATATTATTTATAAAAACAATATCTTTCCAGTTAAGTTCAAACAGAAAAAAAAAATTGTCAGAGGAAACAATATAATTTCATTTCGATGTCATTTTGGAAGACACAGTGAGGACAAGGCAATAGGAAAGAGTGTGGTAGCTTATTTCTGGACTTTCTTGAGATTTTTAGCTGCCTCAGGGCTTCGCTTTTCCCTGCTCTTGGAAAAACAGCTACTGATTTGAATGTACTTCTATAGTTCTCCAAACATAATCAATGTTTAAAAGAGAAATCCAAGGGAGGTGGTACTTCACTGGGCAAGAACACTGTCCACTCCCTACAGTGCAGCATACAGATTCCACAAGCTCAACAGCCCCTCTCTCATCTTTTCCTTATTTCATTTACCCATCCAGTGGGATCTTATGAAATAAAACAAAACCTAAAAGAAACAAAATAAAATGTGAGAAATCATGCTTTAAAAAAAAAAAAAAAGTCAAAGAAAAAATCAATACAAAATACAAATGAATACTTGATAATCGAACACATACACATAAAAGGCACTTAAAGCATACGTAAATGACATAAAAACTGTACATGAATTTATGAAAATTACAACATTAGAGGCAACATTACCTCTATCTTGTGGCTAAAGATTTTATTTGTTAAATAGAAAATGTATAATGTGCACTATCTATTTGTCTTTAACATATCAACATACTCAGATTGAGCTGGAATGCAGTAATTCTAGAATTCCAGAATTCTCCAACCAGGGACTTTCCTATATATGGGTTAGAAAAACCTCAGCCAGGTGCTCTGCCTTGTGCCAAGGCTTATACTGAACAGCCCAACATGCACAATCAAGTTCTCTTTGTTTAGTTTGGTACACCAGCTAAATGAAGGGTATCCTACTATGCCACAGATATACTCTAAGGGATTCTCTCCCTTTTATTTCACACCTTAGTGCTGTGCACATCATCCTTTCTGGCTGCTCTGACCAGGCTGTTGCCCTTAATGGCATTAACTGCCTCTGTAACAGCAGAAAAAAGTGGAGCTGTGGGAAATATTAGTCAATTATCTTGAAATTAATTGTATTTAAATATCAAGAAGAACTTAAAAATCAGCCACTAAATATGACAGCACACTGAAATACATAAAAATCCCCAGGATGTGTTCTGCTCTGAGGTGAAGGAAAAACCTATCTCCCAAACTTTGCCTGACAGGATAAGATTTTTTTTTTTTTTTTAAAGGCTATGTAGGATCCTGTATAGAATTCAGCTAGCTGACTTTATGGCACAAATACTTCCTAGAACAGCATTGCCTTACCCAGTCTGTTGTTATCTGTTGCAGTTGAGTTATTATGTACATCACTGTTGACAGCCACCATTACTTGTTCTAATGACATTTGAAAAAAACACATGTGAGATTTGTACTATTAGTCAGCAAATGTAAACTTCAGTAGTAGATTTGTCGACTATTTAACCTTGTTTTAATAAGTACTCAATGTTTGTGAAGACTGAAAGCTTATCCATATTCCACAGAAATATAAACAATTCAGAGCCAAATTTTGATTTGCTTTCAATGAATGGGACTTAAAGCTACCAGTTTCAAGAGAAGTTGAATTTCACTGTTAGTAGCAATGACTAATTCATTTACATTGCATTTTCTTGTTTGTTTCTACCGTGGAACTAGGTAATCACACATACAGAAGCTGAACTTGCTAGCTTTGTGCAATCCCACATTTCCAAAAGTGAGTGGCAAAATGCCTTTTCTTTGAAACAGTTATTAAGGTCTCATGTAAAGTGTCAAAAAACCCCAAAGGGATATGCTAATTCAGACAAAAATAGAGTATCAGTTGAAGAGAGACTCATTTCAGAACAGTAAGCAATTATCTGAAGGATGTTTAGAAGTTACAGGTTAGCAAAGGAGAAATAACATCGGGGTTTTTGGTAGCCTACAATTAAGTCTGCTGCATGGTTGCTACTTTCCTCTTGAATTCTCTAAGTCATTCAGATCTCTCCTGGAATTTTGCTTTCTTAAATATAGGAGATTGCACATGTTCTTGGCAACTTAAGACAAAGGACACATACATGTATTTATATAAAAACACACTTTTCTACCACACTTTTAACACCAGAGCAAATCATTGCAAGGGAAAGTTTGTTCTGACTTTCAGATTATTCCTTACCTGGTCTGCTGCAGTCACAGTCTAATCACATTTCTGTGTTTTAAGTCACCTCTGAATTTTAATTTGAGAAGTTGACAACTTATGAACTAATATTTAGTACACAGGCAAACAACAGGTACGAAATAGATCTGCTTACAACTCCTGCAAACTTTACATGGTAAGTCATGATGTGAGGGCAGGGGTAGGGGGAAGGTGGCACAACTGTTTTAAGGAAGGCAAGCTGATGTGCTCTTGCACACCAGAGGTGTTTAGGGGCATGGTTTAGTGGTGGGCTTGGTAGTGTTAGTTTAATGAGTGGACTTGATGATTTTAAAGGTATTTTTCAGCCGAAGTGATTCTATTATTCTATATTCTTAGTTGCATTTGTGCATATTTTAGTAACCCTGGTAGTCAACAGTGGTGTCTAAAACAAACAGTATGGGAGAAACCTAACACTTATTACTGAGCAGTCTACAGGAGTCAAGAAGTCCACAGGGGAGTCCTGCAAGTCCTACTGAAGGCAGAAAAATTAATCACAATAAAAACATCTTTTAAAGAAAGAAATGCTTAAACAGAAAGAAGTCCAAAAAGAAGAATGAAAGGAAAAAGGTGAAAGAAAGAAAAAGGTGAAAAAAGGACAAGAGTCTATTAACTTTAATCACTAAAACATGGAAAGAAAGCAGGAGCAGTACACAGAAATGAAAAGGATATATAAATACAAAATAATTGTGGGGAGTGGAGTGGAAGGGGACAATGAAGCAAGGAAACAGGACAAATATAAAGATGCAGAAACTGAACAGAAGTGCTTCAAAAAAATAGAACTTCATTTGCACACTGGATCTCTGACTATTTGAAGACATTGAGCTAGCTAACAAAGGCAAAATATTATGGGCAGTAGATATTTAGAAGATAATTTCTCATGTCCTAACTGCCAGCTTCCAATTTGGCTTCTCAGAGTTCAAATGGAGTCAGGCAGGTTGAGGCAAAGTTTGATTTTGGTTTGAGTTGCTGCTGAGGTGCTGATTCTGACTTTAATATTAGTTTTAAAAGTACACTGCTGTTATATAAGCTGCCACTCAAAGTTGCAGAGGAAAGTACACTAAAGAATAAAAAATAAAAAAAAAAGTCAAAATGAAAGTGGAAGACAGAAAAAAACTATTCATCTTCCCTGTACAAGGAATGACAGAACTTCATTCATCCTTTAAAAGAACATTATGTATCTGTCTCTCTGAAATGCAAATTTTTCCAAGACAGTAAAGAAAATAATAGGTAGTTTAAAATGTAACCAGGTGATAACTTTATTTCCAATAGCAGCTCTTCATTCAAAATGCTTTGAAATCAGCACTGTATTAATTATTAGTCTTCAAATAAACATCATAAAGAATCTGGAGTACACTATTTTTGGCACATCACATTTAAGCCTAACTGCTTAATAGGAAGAATAGTTTGAATTATGTTATTAATAATGATATAGTTGAGCCACCAGTGAGGACTTTTTTTTAATCCTACTTTCTGGAAGTACCACAGTTGACTATCTCAAGAGTTTTGCAGATCTGTATCTCAGATACTGGATGATCTGTACTGTTCTGAGGGTTTACTTTGACTGGGAGCTGGATAAAATGCCACCAACTAACTGTTCCTAGCTTTTCAACTCATTAGAGAGGAAAGCATTAAATGAAAAGTATAATAGCAAATCCCCTACCTTTATACCTACTGTACTGATTTTGAAAGAAGAGCCTTTAAACATGATCCTTTTTAAATGTAAATAAGCCAATTTTTTACCATGTTCAATCAGCACACAACAGAAAACTGAGCAGTCAACAGCATCATGGCAACATATGCATCATAACATCTAATTACCATATATGGGAAAATCACTGTTCTTGGGATAGCCAGATATCCATGGACTCAATTTCTACCTGTCCCAACAATCTCAATCACACTTCTTCTCACTGGTTATGGTCTCTACAAGCCATTGTCTAAGTCATTCAGGAAGGAAAATGTTACACCTTCTGAACTTGTTTCATAGCAAGTTGCTAAATTTCAGTTGCCTAAAATACTTCTTGCTCCAACAGGATTTGAAATACTGTATTTCAATGAATTGTAATAAACTGGAGAACTGAAGTCAGACTTTCTTGGTCATTACCAACCTGATCTACACTCTGTCAGAAAAAATAAAAGCTTCCCATAACGATGACTTAACTGAACAAAAAACTGAAGTTTTATATACTCACATCCCACTTGCCAATTATGTCTCAACATATGAGTTGCATAAATTTGAGACCATGTATCTAAACCAAATAATTCGAGGGAAAGTATAAGCAAAAGAAGTACTGAAAAATTGCAGCTTTCTATGATGTGAAGTCTCATTCCATCTTCTCTCTTCATCGAGTGCATAAAGTTTACTCTAATATTGCATAAGGTTTATTCAGAATATTGTTTGTGGCTTTGATCCAAAGCATTTTGAATCAAAAATCAATGTACATTTTACTTTTTCCAGTGTGGAGTAAATTGAGCATACATGGCATATATCTCTATTCTTTTTAATTGAACTGTGATTTATATGGAGAAAGTTCAAACTGATGACTGGAAGGGAGGAGGGCAAAGGTAAGATGCAGTTGCATTACCTAAAACAGTACTCTTATCAAATTTGTCAGTTTCTTTTTTCAAGAGGAAAATGAAACAGTTTATTCCTAGTTTTATTTGCTTCTTAGATCTCAGCTTTTGCTTCAAAGAACCGTGCTAGCTAATGCTATGTCAAAATCAGGACAAAATGTCACCTAATTTTTATTGGAAACCAAGTAGAGGCTCCTGGATAGCTTCTGCAGAATTTTCATTGCACAAGGAAGAATATCTTGTCTTATAGAGCAATACCTACACAGCAGCAGAAGACACAGTTCTCTTAAGAAATACATATATTTTCTCAGGATTTTGTAGATTTTACATGCACCAGGCTCAATACTGCCATTTGTTTCAGAGCACAAAAACATAAATATTCACTACAATTTTTTTCTTTAATCTAAAAATTGTGTTTACCTCATGAAGTACTAAGACCATATTTTTAATTCATATAAAAGCTCTAATGACAAGCATAAATACTACTTTTCAACCTAAGGATAAAAGCATGTATAGAAGACAAACAAATGAACTTATTAGAGGCCAGGAATTCATAGAAAAGCCTGTATCTGAATTCAAGATTAGTCTGTATTTTCTGATCCAACTTCGCTGTAAACAAATTTACTTAGTAAATGGGAAAACTATGACCAGAAGATATTAAATAAACTGACCCATGAAGTTATACATCAAGGTAAAGAGTTTTGACCCTCTTACATGCTCCAATTACTTACAACAGTAAGGCAGCACACAATCATATTAAAATTAAGACTATTAACAGTAACCCAAAACTAAAAAGTTTCTTCAAAATATCCAGTATCTTATAAAGATGTTTTTACCACTACCACTGTCACTCCCTCTAATGTCTAAATTTATGCTCCATGGATAAGGATACATAGTTTGTAATTTTATGGATGCTTCCCCTTGTATTAGATTTCTGAGTAAACACAATAAAATTGGAGTCATCAATGTCAGTTTTGTAGCTGGTATTCAAACTATTTGGTTGCTTGTTTCATTAATCTACAAGTTCATAAAATGAGAATGGAGGTCAAACAGAATTATACATACTTAAGTACAGAACCTCATAAAGATGTTTTCATTGTAAAAGATATTAGAACTAAGAGATGGTAAAACTGGACCTTTTTACTCAACATTTTGGAAACGAAAAATATTTTGGGTTGACAGTTCTCTACCCTGCTAACAAGGATCATTTAATGTCTTAATCTGTTTTTCTTTAGTTTGATATGGACTTTTGATTTTATCTCCCAGCATGATGCATTGGAAGACATGCTCATTTTCCAAGCAGGCAGAAGAAAACAAAACATTTGTGCTCTGTACTCTTGAAGGAGAAAATACTGTATCTTTCTTAATGAGGGTCATTACCCTCATGATTTCCAGCGCAATATCCAACAGAAGTGTCCTTTTACAGTACGGCTGATCATGTTGTAGTGGTTTTGCTTTCTATTGATTAGTAAGGGTCAAGGACATTAAGGGCTGGAGCTCAAACTACCATTGCTCAGAGACAGCCACTACATATATTTTCCAGAGCTTCTAATTCAGGGACAGTTAAAGTAAAAAAGAGGAAGTGTGAATAAGCAACTTTTTAGAAACTCAAACAGAACCTGGCATTAACAGCAGCTCCCCACAGAACCACAGAAAATGTGCATTAGTAGAAACTCAGTTCATAGGAAAGAGTGTAGCAATTACTATTTGCATAAGCATTGTAAAACATGGATATCTGTGGGCTATTTTACACTTTATTTGCATGAAACACTGTATGCCTGAGAGATCAATCAATAAATCAAGGGATGCTTTCTCAAAGGTTCCTGTAAGTACTTGAAAAGTCAAAGCTGCTAGGAAAGAAGGCCCTTTACCTTACGACATCCCTAGAATTTGTGTTTAATGCACTCATTGTTATGCATGTAAAATACAGAAATGCTACTACACAGCCACAATTTTGACATTCAAGCATCAGTTTACAGCCACAAGAAAGAAGATCAGAGCATTTAAAAGGACACAGCATAATTACGTCGTGCCCCTTTGAAAAAGAGAATCACTGTCAATTTTGAAACCATTTTGTTTCTACCCAAATATTGAAGACAGCTCGACCATACAGTTAGTTCAATTCCAAACATTCCATATTTTCAACACATGACCTTTTAGTAAGACCTGGCAAGAGAGTTTTTATATAAAAATTAGGGAAATAACGTTGTCCGTTAGTGCACAATAAGAGTTATGGAACTGTATCACATATGTTCATTTATAATGGGATTATTTTGCTTACTGTTCCCTTACAACAATATTAACACCTTTAATTAATTACCATCCTCATAGCTGTTATTGAGCAATTCTCCAGCTTCCTTGCTATGACATCTTACCATGTGTCTGTGAAATCTGAACATTTCTTAAAAGACGCATAATCTACTCAAGATTATGAGTGCCTCTAGTAAAACAACTGGGGGCTTTCTTCATTAATTTCAACTGCCTTCCTTCACAGTCGCTACTAATCAAGTACTTCCACATGGCAATCAACAATCTTCCTTAAAAACACTCATCTTGTGCATGGCCAACGATCAAGATAATGGACTGACAACAAACAACCAAGAGCTAAATGCCAGCTAGTCCCATTAATGTTATGCTCCATGAAGACAAACTACATAATTTCTGTTCATCTCTTTTTCCTCCATCTTCTGCAGACTTCTAGGTCCAGGACCAGAGATTACTGCCCCATTTTGATACAATCTTGGCTCAAGTATTTCACCCCACAAATTCTCTCGACAGAAAACTTATGATGTAGGTCCCATAGGTGATCAGGCCCACACAGCATTGTTTATGAGATGTTGGTTCTGACTGACAAACCTGATCTATGTCTATGACAAACTAACACACTCAGTGGATGAGGGGAGGAATATGGATGTTGTTGGCCTGTACTTTAGTCAAGCCTTTTTCCCACAGCACTTTCCTGGAGAAGCTGTCTGCTCATGGCTTGGATGACTGCACTGTTCTCAGGGTTAAAAACTGTCTGGATAGACAGCCCAAAGAGTGTTGGTGAATGGAGTTACATCCAGTCGGTGGCCAGTCACCAGTGGCTTTCAGCAGGGAAAAATACAAAACTGTGAAAAAATGCTGCTAGTTATCTCTTATCATAAATCCAATGTCACAGGAAAGAGACAACCTTCAAGTTGCCATCCACTGAACCTTAACTAAAGTAATTCTCCTCTGCAGTAACACACGGCTTTTGAGGAAGGTGAAGGATGAGGCACAGGATGTTTCCTCATGAACCTCGTGGCCTGGTTTTACACTCCTGAAAAGTCACCCTGAAGTTCTGCATACATTTGTAAGCAGTTTGAAGAATATGCTTTCAGGTCCTGAACCTATTTCAAGGCTCCATGAACTTTTCTTTCTCCCTAGATATTACAGTATGTTGAAATCCTTCCCCAGTGCAGAAGATTAAGAATATTTGTAAGGAAAAAATACTGCACAAAACAGAGCTAAATGAAGCAATTTGAATCTTCGAAATCACAGCTAGTTGAAGCCATTGTGAAAATAATGTGCACTTACTCCAGTCTAGCTTTGATTTGCTTTACTGTTGTCTAATCCCCAACAACTGTGTTGTCAGTTTTACATGGACACAAGATGGATCTTTGTTCAAAGGAGCACTCTTCACAGGACACTCAAGAAAAGGAAAAGGGAAGTGGTCTTGGGAAAAAGGAAAAGTTTCCGCTTTTTGTATTTATGAATGCTACCTCTTACAGCACCCTTTTGATGCAACAAATTACATACATTTATTGTGCTAATTCCACCTAAATTATGGCCAAAAATGTAATTATAAATTTAGTTAGCATCAAGTAAACAAGACATGAATCTATCACAGATACCGTCTGTAATTGCCATAGCTGCCAGAGCAAGCTATTAGCAAACCGGTAAGATTTGCTTTTATTTGAAACTGTATTCCTGCAAGTGGAGTGCATGGATTTTCATCCACACCTGGCACACAGGATGCCATAAATGTTATACGATTTTGAATTTCTGTGTGACTACTCTTTGCTTGCTACCACTGATGCACTAGGAAAAGAAATTTACAAGGCATTTAAACAGGAATAGAAGTATCATTTCCCTTTCTGTACAAGTGAAACAAACTCCTGTCCTGTAACCAGGTCATGTAGAACCACTCTCAAATATATTATTGTCATATGTCAACTTTGTAGAGACAGAACCAGAAAAGATGTATTGCTATTGCTCAGTTATCACTGCAGCACTGCTGAGGTAAGCCTTCTGAATTTCCCTCTTTCTACACAAAGAATGGTCTTGTAAATGTATTAAGGTTAACAATATGCTTGACACGCATTTGAAATAAACAATATTTCTTCTGAAAGAAGAGGGATTGATGCTTTCATTGGTGACAATTCCCCTAAAGGCACCATTTAAGAAAAGCAGAGTCCTCCGTCTTCACAGTCTAATTGACTTTTCAGTCAGTAAGTAGCCATACCAATACACCTGACTCTTCTTTGGTCAGAGAAACAAAGCCTGCTTTTGGACTCCAGAAACTAAACAGGTTCCAGCCTGCAACAACTGCAGGTCAGGAGTCCATGGAACTGGCAGTGCTTTGGTCATGATGCTGCCAGTGCTGGCCAAGGTGACTCTCTCCACTTCCACCACAGCCACTGCACAAAGAACCAGCAACAATGCTAACACCTGCCTTTCTTTCATGAGATAGGTTCTCAACTCATCCCCACATCCCCAGTCTCCTCCCTGAAAATAAACTCAAGACTTACATGGAGCAAGGCTACTGTAAACTTGAATGACCCCTCCACACCTGAATAATCATGTGAATTCAGACACACAAGATGTGGAACAGACACACAAGAAGATCCAAACAGTAGTTTACAAGCCAAAAACTCTCTGGGGTAAATAGTATATGCAAGACTACTTGCTTCCAGGTCCATGTGCTAAGATAAAGACTTAAAAAGAGGTTCAGGGCACATATTTGCCAGTAAATAAAAATATGCAGGGCTGTATACTCTTTTTTTAATCCACAGTTATTTAATCTGTGTTAAAGTAAGTTACTATTTTGGCCTAAGACAAACAGCACTCTCTTAGAAAATGTTCCAGTATGTTTCAAAGGCCAGCATGTGTCAAAAATATTTTTCAAGTACATATGGGGCCATCCTACTTGAGGAATATGAGAGAAGCGAGTTTTAAACCTGTGGACACAATTTATGCCTTTCCCTACAGGCCAGAGAACATACCCTAGTCCCACTGGCTTTGATGGCATACTGGTAACCTCAAAGACTGCTGTGCATTGCCCCAGAACCAAATCAAATTATACAGTATATGCAAACCACATGCTATGACTACTGTCCAGAGAGACCACTTAAGAGATAATACAGAACTAAGTTATTTCTGATTATGTTAATTGGAAGAGGTGAGTCAGTTTGTGAGATACATGCTATTATTGCAACTGAATTTTTATAATTTTCAGTATAATTGTACCAGTATTTGTTAGTGTAGGGCCCAGAAGTCTGGCATTTGGCCAATGGTGATTATTTAGGCATGTTATTATCAATTACTACTGATGGGACACAAAGCAATTTTTGACATTCTGTCTGAAAAATGCATTAAAAGTACTTGAGAACTTTTGTGATTTTAATCTTGCCTGGACTGGAAATAAGATGTTGATTGAAAAAATGCTAAAAAACTTTAAAAAAAACCCCACCCGAACTACACACAAGTCTAAGTCGAAGCACAAGATTTGAGACATTTCCTTGGATACACAGTTAGGTTTGCTTATGCCAATGGATTCGTAACAGTTGCTTCACAATGTATTTGTAATGAGCAAAGCAAGACAGCAACTTATGTTTTCACATGGTTATTTAGACCATTCAAATTTTTCAAATATTTCAACAGAAAAAAATCCCTTTCAAGTTCTGTTCAAAGCCCTGACATTAATTTCCCAGATTCATATGGGAACACAATACGCATCATTAATTATTCACAATTTTGACTGCATGTATATTTTTTCAACCAAAAATGTATGTATTCATGTATACACAGATATACATAACAGGATACATACATCCTGAAAAAATAACTGAAATATATGTAGTATTTTATAGTGACATTTGTTCTAAGAATAAATAATTCATCAGGTATATCTAATAACGTTATTTACAGGTTAGTCTGAATAGCTTTATTATCTCACCTTCATTGTCGCAGTCTTGCAATGAAAGCCATATTTGATCTACCAGACCAACGCCTTTTACTTCACCATGAACTGGAATGGAATGCATTACCATTAATGCAATCAAGGTTAAGGGTTTGGTTTGCAATTGCCAATGCTACTCTTTTTAAAATTTGTATTTCTTCATTAATTTCTTTATTTTTCATTCTACACTGCAGAAGAGAAAACATCCACTGTGATACTTTCAGATTGCTCTCATTTCACATTTTTCACACATAGCCATCTATAACATGAGAAAGACTGTAGTTCTTGGTACTTTTTTGGTCTGGATTCTACCAGACTTAACATGTGTTTTAGAGCTATGGAAACGCACATCACTTTAAAATATTTATTAAAAATTGCAATATCATGCTTTATGATAAGCAGCAAGGAGATATTCTTCAATCATTGGCCTAATTCTTCTTGGTGTATATTCTTGGCCTGCAAAGACAAACTTGGTGTACTTATAGTCTGCACAAAAGTCAGAGTCAAGGCTTGGTCATATGGCATGCAGCAATTTTTTTACTTGGTGCTTACGAGTTTTGTCCAGGACTTTTGCTTTTGTTGGGTATGACATAGAAGCAAACCCTTACTACTTAACACTGAAACAGCTTGTTCAGGACTTGGCCCCACCCCTCACTCCCAGTACTGAAAGTAACCTATAACCAATCAACCCTTGCTGAAGGCAGGAGGTACTCATGCAGCTAAAGAACAAGTATCCACATCTCCGTTCTACTCCAAGGTACCTCAGCAAGTGGCATCACATTCACAGAAGATTGGCAAATTCAGTGCTGAGTATTCTTTGCAACATGAAAAAAGACTAACTTCACATGCAAAGGCAGCAGATCTGCAGACAGCAGACCTGGACATAGTTTATGAATTTGATGTAGGGACAAACATCTAAAAATAAAAAATATATAAAAGCAAATCCCAGCCAAATGGCAAGGCTCAATTTAAATAATCTATTTAAATTATACCACTTGAAAATTTGTGTAACTGCACATTTATATATATATGTACATACAAACTCCCTCCAACGTATTTCATATGAGTCACTGAAGAGCTTTTTCCTTGGAAATTACATTAACATTAAAAAAAAAACAGCAATAGAAATAGATTTTCTATTACTAGCATTTTATGAACACCATAAAATCAGAAGAATAAAAAAATAGTTGATTTAGGCCACATTAAATATTATGTCAGTAGAATGAGCAAAGTGAACTGTGGACATTCTTTGACTGATTAGGGATTAGGACCAACAGCAAATTTGGATGCATCATCATGTTCAACAACCATGATTAATTTAATAATATTCTATAACGAAGAATAATCTCCAGAAGCTTGCTCCTGGAATTATTACAATAACTATGAACTCTGTCATGACTTTAGACCTCTATCTTGTCCAGATTTTCCTAAAATGCAGGAGAAGGAAGAGACGATGGCCTGGATGTTATCTATTATATTTCAGCCAACACAAAAATTATACTAGGCCAAACTTTTTAGCTCCTGCAAATGCACTTACCTCATCCTACTCGAGTTAACAGATCTTAAAGATCACTTTTAAGTCACAGAATTTAATTTTCAAAAAGCAGACACTGTAAAGCAGTATGATGTCTTTGTGAAAACTGAAGCATTTAAGGAAGGATACGCAGCCTTGCTTGCTTCTCAACAAAGCATCAAACCTCTATTTTGGTAGCTTATTCTGAAAGAAAACGCTTGGCTGAGAGAATACTCTAACAGGATTCTAAACAAAAGATATTAAAATATTATTCTCTATTTCTGATTGTTTATGATACTTCTCAAAGCAGGAAAAATATTTTACAGGGACAAATATTTCCACTGCCAGTAAAGGAGCATTGTTTCCTTTGCTGCAGTTAAAATACTGGATTTGGTATTCCCTTTAGGATTTACAATATAACTTCAGGGAGTGAGGTTAGTTAATGAGCATGTAACATGTTTACTTAGTCTACACTGAACTTAATTCTAAATATAGGAAAAGAAGTATCAAAAATCTAGAAAAAAGGCAGACAAAAAATATATTAATATTTTTTTAAATATACACTTCACTTGCAGCTCTGGAAAACAAACTGCCGAAACACATTAAGAAGTATCATTTGAAACAACCTTTCCCTCGCAAAGACAGAAAATTTTCTCAAACTCAGCTCTATTTTACAAATCTTGCAAAATCAAGTAATTGATATACAACACTGCTTTACAGCTTTCCTGTCCATAATGTAACCACAGTATTACTGGGAATAGGATGGCAGGGGGAAAGCCTCATTCACATCTGACATGATGCTGTTTGCAAATGCAGCACCCTTTAGTTGCATCATGGAAGAGCCCTCTCTGGTAATAACATGACTTTCTGTCCAAATCCAGCTATGATAAGAATTACTGATGACAACCTCAAATAAAATAGTAATTAAATCTTCCGAAACACTCCTATGACTGGACAAAGGGTTGTGAGAAGGACAGACACCAAGCAGCAGTTCTGACCTTGAAACAAAACTATTGATTTGATTTTGCCTTGTGAAAGGAAGGAGGGGAAACTGAAACCAACCATTCTGAATCATTAATGAACTCCCACAGCATCATCCTAATTCAAATTTTTTACATATCCATGTGCATTTTTCTTTTGGCTTCCTCAAAACTAGCCTATTTGCAATCTAGTCATGAAAAAAACCTGTAAGTTAGTTTAAGACAACATGAAGTGTCTCTAGATAACAGACAAAATCAAAGTTTTGTGTTTGTTAGACAAAACATGCACAAAAGATTGTGTAACACTTAACATAAATGTTACATATACTTTTAAATACACACACACACACATATATATATATCTGCATCTGTGTATGTGTGTTTACTCATGTTATGTTAATTACTGTAAATTAATAAAAGATGCTATTAATTGCCTGTGCTAATACTATGTTTTTGTTAGCCCCACTGAGGCAGAACTGACTTTCCAGTCTTTTGATAATTCCTAGGATTGAAAGTACTTTGAGCATGTTTTCTATGAGAAATTTGGCCATAAAAAAGGAAACATTTGGGTTGTTGATTTTTAAAGAAAAGCTCTTTATAGAATTAAAAAATAAAATTATAAGAATAGTTATAATTTGTGTGGCAGAAAAATTTCAAATAACTGTTGTTTAGCACTGATTAGCACTAAAATGATAGAGAGAAGTAAATGGGGAGCAAAAAGCCAACCATTAGATAAAACACAGGGAGCTGTGTTATCATTTTCTCCTTATTTATCTTAAATTTCACTCATCCCCCTTCATTTTCCCTCCTCAACATTTTCCTTAGTTTTTCTTACACCCTCTTGTCCTATAAATTGTCTCCAACAGCTTTTATTCAGCAGCTACAGTGCTACTTACTGTAACACAAAGAAAGCATCCTCCTTTGTCCTTGTCTCATCTAGCAGTCCTAAAGAAAATAATTTCCTAATGATGTACTTCTACACAGAAGTCATAACTTAGTTTATAGAACTACTTCTTTGATACCTTCATTAAACAAATCAGCTGCATTAAAAATGGGAAACTATTAAGCCAAGATATCTTTTTAAATGCAATCAAACAAAGTGAACTGGAAGAAAAACATCCAACAGCCAAATGGTCACTGACTATAGACATTTCCTCTTAGAGACACAGCCCAACAAAAACCATCAAGGTGCAAATATGAAATGATTTTTCTGTTTACCATCCGCTGTAAGAAGGAATAAATGTGATGACTTCTGTCCTCACTGTCACACTGCAATGCATTAGCAGAAGTATATAGGCTGTCTCAGCACAAAGAAGTGAACAGTGCTGTCCAAGACAGTGAGTTCATGTGTGAGAGAAGCTGGCTACTTTCAAAATATCCATGTGATTAGTTTCCTTTTAATTGCCTATTTAATTACCAATGCCTTCACCATCCAGAGACTAGAAATGCTGTCTTTACAAAGGATAATACGGCAAGACTGACAAAAGTAGGAATTGCTACTGCTGGAACTAGATTCAGTTGCCTTCTACAATAATACAATATAAAACCCCACCACAGTAGCACTGCAGCTTCTTTACTTAATAATTAGAAATAATGTCACAAGATAATGTGGCAAACATTATCTTACACCACGTATACAGAGGATTAAAAATTCTATAGTAGAATAATTGCATTCAGAAGGAGATTATCCCTTTAGCCCTGACCTCTGAAATACAAAACTTCTGCTCACACTGTGGAAATATGCATTTTTGTATGCTAGTAAAAAAATGTCCAAAAAAGATTAAAAGACTATAGGTAAGAAACTAGTGAGCTATGCAATGATACAGACACTCATTAAGTAACAGGGAAAGAGACGAGTACAACATGCAATGGGCAACATACAAACCTACTCTATAGCAAAGCCAGAAGTAAACGTGCCTTTAGTGTTAGTACAAAACTCCTGTGTGACTACACAGTAAATTCAGCATGAGCTTTACAGCAGGAATTACATGGTGCCACACAGAATCATTCACAATGTTATTGTTCAGTTTATATTTGGCCTCTAGCTCTGTCTGTTCCATAAAATTCAAGCAATGAACGATGCTATGAACTGGACAATATCTAAATGCCATATCCAACGTCTATAGCACCTATGAATTAATTATTTCTCGTAAAAACAGAAAAATAAATTCCAAATCCAAAGGCCATTATTAAATAATTCATTCCAATTATATTTCAAATTAAAACCTTCCCACTGTGGGAACATGGCTGTGCTCAGCTCTTTTTACACAAAAATCAAGGAGGAATAAAAGGCAATGGAACATCTTTCTGTAAAAAAAGTTTATAATTTTGTCTATAACTACTACAGCCATCTAACTACAGGTCAGAGATGACCTGTAATAATTTGCAAACAATGACCTGCATACAATCCTATGTATAAAGTCATTTACAGGCCAAGGGCAAAATTTTCCCCTTCCATGCATATTGCAAATGTGCTATCTGTGGAGTCTGTCACAGTGCTGATTCTGCACTGACAGGTGGCTCCTATTTCCATCAGTGGTGTTTGTGGTGCTGAAAAAGCAATAAGACAAGCTAGG